AAGGCATGGATTCTTCTTCAGTCTTCCTTATTCATTGTCCAGCTTTCACATGCATATGAGGTGATTGAAAACACCATGGCTTGGGTCAGACACACCAAAACTACAATGAGATACCATCTTACCTGACATTACTGGCACTAATCAAAAAAAAAAAAAAAAAAAAAAAAAAAAAAAAAAAATACAGAAAATAACAAATATTGGCAAGGTTTTGGGAAGATTGGAATTCTTATACACTGCTGGTGGGAAAGTAAAATGGTATAACCACTATGGAAAATGTTATGGCACTTCCTCAAAAAGATAGAAATAGAAATACCATATGATCCAGCATCCCACTCCTAGGTATAGACCCTAAAAAAATAAGAGCCATGACACAAACAGACATACACTGGCACACAAAAGCCAGTCTGTCAGGGAAACCTCTTAGACATAACCAAACAACTCACAGGATGAAGTTCCTAGTCTCGAAGCCAAAAGACCATAAACTCGGGGAACATCTACGTCAATTGGCACAACATTGTTCATAAAAACAGTGTTCTGCATCCTACTTTGGTAAGTAGTGTCTGGGGTCTTAAAAGCTTGTGAGCAGCCATCTAAGATACAACTATTGGTCTCTTTCCGTCTGGAGCAAAGAAGAGTGAAGAACACCAAAGATTCAAGGGAGCAATTAGTCCAAAGAACTAATGGACCACATGAACCACAGCCTACACGACCCTGAGACCAGGGCTAGATGGTGTCCTGCTACCACTACCGACTGGTCTGACTGGTCTCACAACAGAAGGTCCCGGACAAAGCGGGAGAAAAATGTAAAACAAAAAACCAAATTCACACACAAAAAAACAGACTTACTGGTCTGATAGAGACTGGAAGAACCCTCAAGACTATGGCCTTAAGACACCCTTCTGACCTGGAGCTAAAGCCATTCCCGGAGACCACTTTGCAGCCAAACAATAGACAAGCCCATAAAATAAACAATAATACCCAAAAGGATCATGTTCCTTAGAACAATCAATTATACAAGATCAAAAGGGCAATATTTGCCCAAAAGCAAAGATGAGAAGGCAGGAAGGGGTAGAAAATTAGGACAAAAGGAAATGCGGAA